TATGAGCCCCTAATAAAATGTTAAAAAATAAAAATAAAAATCTATAAATTAAAAAAAAAGAGAGAGAGGTCAAGAGAAGCGGCCAGGCTTGCGCTCTGAATGAGCAGAATTGTGATGGACCGAGAGAAGGATGGGGGCACGCTCTTGAGAACTTGCTCGTCCCCCAAACTCTCACTGGATCAGCCTCCAGCGCCCAGATTCAGAGCCCCTGCTCATTTCTGATGCCCAGATTTGGCTGAGTTCTTTCAGCCACCATGTCATGCAACAGATTGGAAGGTCTAATGTGGTGGGAAAGGCCTGATGGCCCAATGATGATGAATACCAACTGGTTCTATTTACTGAGCACTTACAGGAACGTTGAAGAGTGCTTTGCATTATAATTATGCTCCAGTTTATCTTTGGAGAAATCCAATAGGACTTGGTTCTTAACACCCTATTTCATAGATGAGAACATCAAGGCCTCCTGTCAGAAGTGAGGACGTTGGGATAAGAGCAGGGTACTTTGCATGACCAAGGGGCAGCACCCAAACAGAACAAAACCCACTGCCCCTGAGCCCACTCTGACTCCTAGCAGAGGCCTGCTGGTGAAGTGGGCCACTCACTTGGCTGCTAACCACAAGGTCAGCGATTCAAATCTCCTACCGCTCCCAGGGAGAAAGATGAGGCTTCCTGTTCTCCTAGAGATTTAAAGTCTTGGAGACCCACGGGCAATTTTACTCTGTCCTATAGGGTCGTTTTGAGTGCCAGCACAGAAATCAGTAATAAAGGCAGGCATCATGGCTAATCAGACCGAAGAGGGACCGGCAGGAGAGGAGAGGCTCTAAGGTTGCACCATCTCCGTTGTTGAACAGAGCCGGGCAAAGTGGACAATGCCTTCCCTGGCCTCCCCCCATTCAAAGAACAGCAGCCCCAGCAGGTGAGTTCAGGTAGGCTTTTGGTGGGCGGCTCATGGAATAGAGAGGCTCTGGCCATCACCTGTAAGGTTTGTGTCCGTGAGGATGATTTCATCCATGCAGAAGGGGCCCATCTCCTGAGCCAGCGGGAGGAGGTCTATCCGATGAACCAGCATGGGGCCATTTGCTGGGGGAGACTTCAGAGCCCCAGAGGCATGCACACAAGTCTCCCAGAGGTCAGTGCAGGTGAAGAGCCAGCTGGAAACAGCAGGAAGCCTCTCAGTATACAGCCCCAATCCTCCCCACCGCAGCCCTGCATCCCAAACCTGAGAGTCTGTGCACTGCGAGGCCAAGAGAGGCCCCAGAACCTCTTCGCACAGGTTGTCCTGCATGCAAACAAGCCCTCTCCCGCCCCCCTCCACCCCACTGCATCACAGTGGGCTCAGCTCAGCTTTTGCTCCATGACACTCCTTCCACTTGGCAATGACTCCGACCTGACTCTCGGAAGCCCTAGGGTGTCGGGATGGAATGTTGGGTGGGTGTGCCGTTCGGAAGCAGATCTCCAGGCCTTTTGTCAGAGGGGCCTCAGACATCGAGGATTTGCTGCCCAGCACAGCCTGCTTGCCGACCGCATCACCCAGGGCCTCCTGGATGTCACTCTGGGGAATTACACTGTCGCTCAAAGGCAGCCCCATCTTTAAATTATACCGTAATTGTGTGTCTGAAGCAGACTATCTGTTTAGGATCTAACCACAGAGAAGACTGATACACCTCAGCATTACCGAACTCATTGAGACGTAAAACCGCGAGCAAACCCCCCTGAGAGACCTTTGGAAAGAGCATTGAATCAAGGGATCAGGACGGCTGGATTGTCCTCCAGCTCTTTTGTTCTCTCACGGAAGGAACATTCTGAGCCCCAAACCAAACCCATGGCTGAGCTGATTCCAACTGCCCCCTCAGGTTCCCACGGCTGTCATCTTTATCGAATCAGACTGCCTCATCTTTCTCTGGTGGAGCGACTGGTGAGCTCGAACTGCCAGCCAGTGGGATGGCAGCCAAGCGCCTCACCATTGAGCCACCCAGGCTCCTGAATGAACTTCCATGAATCACAAAATCTCTCGGCCCCCAATGTCCTCCTCTGCAATGACAAGGACTGTTCTCTAAGGTCTCTCACAAGTATGATGTTCTGTGATCAGATTTCTGTGAGAAATGCTGTATTTCTAGGAAACACTCGATTCTTAACAGGAGCCCTGGTGGTGGAGTGGTTATGTGTGGGGCAGTGATCCTCACCGGCAGCAGTTCGAAACCCCCAGCAGCTCCTGTGGAGAAAGGCTGGGCTTGCTACTCTCCAAAAGAGTGACAGCCTCAGAAACCCAAGGTACAGTCACTGTGAGTCAGCAGTGACTCGGTGGCAGTGAATTTGGAGTTTGGTTCAACTGCTGAAAATAAACACAGTCGGTGGAGTCCGTGACTCAGGGTGACCCCGGGTGTCTCAGAGTAAACCTGGTCCCTGGGGGTTTGTGACTGTGGGCTTTTGGAAGCAGATGGCCAGATCTGTTTTCCAAGATACCTTTGGGCATTCAATGGCACGGTGTTTTAACCATTGGCACCTCTTAACAACTAACTGCAGTCCAATCTAAATTTTTTTGTCAAAGAAAATGTGTTCAAAGTCCCAGGTTACCACAAGACCAGATGGAAGAGCCCTAGTGCACAAGGGGTTACCCCTGAGCAGTTCACCACAAAGCCCCTGGTTTCATCCCACCAGCAGTGAATGCTATGGAGAATGAGGAAGTAAGGATTTAGAGTCTAAGACAACCAAAAGGCCCGCTCTACCCCATCCTATAGCATTGCTCTAAGTCAGAATCGGCTCAATGACAGGGGGTTTGAGGTTTTGGGTGAGTACCTCCTGTGGACCCTCATCTCCCCAGAACCAGCTGCACTCCTTCCATAGCTCATCACAGATTAGCTACCTGTCAGGTCTAGGCTCCGTGGGACTCCAGTCACAGGTGATGTTCTTTATGAGGTTTTGGAAGTCTACTGTGAAGGTCAAGGTCATCTTCAGGGTGTTCTTCCCGGAGCCTTTGTATGCAAAGCAGAGCTAGAGACATCAAATAAGTCCATCAGTCCTACCAGTGCAAGAAGTAGCCACGCAGCCAGAATCTTATGCCTGACTGTAAACAGGCCTCCCTGCCTGCCCCGCCCTCCCTATCATTCACCCTCCAGAATTTAGCAGTTAGAAGAGCCAACAGTTTTGATTAAATCCTTTGTTCGGTAGAGAGTTAATCAGCTCCTAGTGCTGTGCTTAGCAGTGAAGATTTGATTGAAAATACAGAGTTCTGCTTCCTGGCTCACATAGAAGGTAACTGTTCTTATCCATTTACCCGTACAACTTTGAACAGGACATGTGACTTCCATTGTGACTTCTCTAACCCTCAGTTCAACGCTCACTCCCAGGCATTCCTGCTTCCTAACTCTAAGTTAAGTCCGGAATTGTTCAATGTAAGAAAACATTAATGCCGCCATTGTCAATGTTGGCATTTGGGGCATTTTGAGTCAATCCTTTGCTGTGAAGTATATCCTGTATATTGTAGGATTTTCTTCAGCATCCTTGACTTCTACCCATTAGACAACAATAGCACCCCAGCCCCAGTTCACCTGTGACAACCAAAACATTTCCAGACATGGGCAAGTGTCTCTTGGCAGGCAAAGTCTCCCTCCTTTAGAATGACTGGTCAAGATTGGGAGCTGGAAGGTGGGTATTGCCCCCAATTTCAGTATACTGGATCCCACTGCAGCCCTACTAGAAGGGGACTTTAAACCCCTGCCGAGAGCTCAGCGACCCAGCAAGGCTTACTCTGGATTGCAAACAGCAAGTGAGCAGTGTCTAGTTTTTAAAGGACACCCCAGTTACCAAAGCAAACGATTTAAGCTGTGCTCAAAAGATAAGCCAGTAAACCCATGAATAATAACAGTAACAATGATACAAGTCACCAAGGATTGTTGCTAGGGTTCCAATTCTTACATGTTTTTGTTGTTGTTGTTGTTAGATGCCATCAAGTCAGTTACAACCCGCAGCAAGCCTAAACACAACAGGATGAAAACCGCATGGTCCTGCGCCATCCTCACAGAGGTGGCTTTGCTTGAGTCGACTGATGCAGCCACTGTGTCCCCCCATCTCCTTGAGGGCCTTGCTCCTTTTAGATACCCCTCCATTTTACCAACCATGATGTCCTTCTCCAGGGGCTGGTCTCTCCTGGCAACAGTCTTGCCATCCTTGTCTTTTAAGGAGCACTTTGGAGTACATACTTCTTCCAAGACAAATTTGTTTTACCAGGTAGCAGTCCATGGTACTTTCAATATTCTTCTCCAGCACATTAAAATGCAGTCTTCCTTATTGAGTGTCCCACTTTCATATGCATGTGAGCCAATTGAAAATACCATGGCATGGGTCAGGTACATCTAGTCCTCAAAGTAACATCCTTACTTTTCGATTCTCTCAAAAAATCTCATGCAGCAGATTAATCTAATGCAACATGCCTTTTAATCTCTTGACTGCTGCTTCCATAAGCACTGACTGTGAATCCAAGCAAGACAAAATCCTTGACCACTTCAACCAATATCACGATGGTAACTATTGGTCCATTCGTGAGCAATTGGGTTGGACTGTGGTGGGTTGTGTGTGGCTGAGGTGCTGGAAGCTATGTCACTGGTATTTCAAGTGCCAAC